TTTTTCTGTCTTCCTCTTGAAGAGGCTGCTTTTGTCTCTTCCCACTTCTCCCCTTCCCCCCTTCTGTTTCTCTCTCTCTCTGCCTCTCTCTCCTCTTCTCCCCATTCCCCTCCATAACCCACTAAATAAATATCCAACCTCAAAAAAAAAAAAAAACTACACAGAGAAACCTTCTGGAAAAAAAATCCCACATTTTCCGGCTTATGGACATTTAAAGATGTCTTCTTTCTTATCTGAAGATCTTGAGGTTGGTAGAGTGTCGCTCATGGTAGAACATGCCCAGAAAGTGCCAGGACTGACATTCAGTCCCTGATAGTCATCCTCCATCTCAACAACAAACATATTCTAAGAGCAGGAACCTACGTTCTCGTCCCGAGGCACGCCACCTCATTGCCTCACAGCCGCCATTTGTGCGCTCGCTGCTTCCTTCTGGGATTTGAGTCCTGATGGCAGGCTGGTAAAGGAAAGGACATCTCAAGTGGCTCAATGATAATGGCAGAGTCTCTGCATCAGATCTCCAACCGCCCCACCCTCTGCCAGCCTGAGATGAAAGACTTTCCACTCTGGAGAACAGGGTGTGGGAGGCAAGGAAGGCTGACTGTCCCCACTGCCTCCAGCCCTGAGATGTCGGAAGCTGTTTAACCTCTGAGTCCACCGTGGGCAATCAGATTATTATCACTCTTTTTAGTAAAGCCTTTTGCTAGTTTTTAAAGAAAAAATGTCACAAATTGGGAATAGTGGGACATACCTGTAATCCCATCACTTCCAAAGGCTGAGGCAGGAGGCTTAAGAAGTCAGCACTGTCGGCTGTACAGTAAGACCCTCTCAAAGGAAAAGAAAAGCGCGATGCCCCATACAGTTCCCGGCATATAACAGGAGCTTAACAAATGTTAAACTTACAACCTCCTCACTTTTCCCTTATCCTCGCATAAGCTGTTTAGAAGATAAAAACTTTACCTCTTATTTAAAAAGAAAAAAACCCCACAAATGTCAGGCATATTAGCACCAGTGGTCATTGGCCTTCCTCGGGGAGTGTCGAGTGTCCAGCATGATCAGGCACCCCCCCGCCCCCAGCTTCTGATCCTTAAAGCTCTTTGAGGTAGTCTGAGGTCATCTCTCATAGATGGAGAAGCTGCTGTGGAGAGAGAATGAGTTCCAGGGTCTCAAAGCCAGTAAGAGTGATGTGCACCCCGACATCTTGAACCCCATACTTTCTAACAGGTTTTGATATTTCTACCTGAGATTCCAAAATTAACCCATGGCCCCATTGTAGAGCAGTCCGGACACACTGAACATGGCAGAGCTGTGGCCAGCACTTTCTAGTGACAGTATCTGGCTTTGGAGATGGCGTTTGGTGGTTGCCTGAGCAGAGTCTCAAATCTCGAGCTCCAACGACTCTCAGGATGGCATCTGTTTCCTCATCCATCCGCTCCACTTTCAAATGTGACAGTTGCCTTGAACACGCTTGCTGAAGGTTGGTCCCCTTCCCCCATCCTGTCTGCCAACCGCCAGGTCTAACGCCAGGTGAGTTTTGTCAGGTACCTGGGACTTGGTCCAGACTCCAGTCACCAAGAAGTCATCTGTGCGCCTGTTTGTGAATGGAGGCAGCAGAGGTGCAGTGGGATGGGGCGTCACCGGCTTGCTGGCAACTGGGAGAACCAGGATACCGCGCATTCTTTTCCTGTGGCTTCACTGTCAATTGATCGTTCCAGCAAGGGCTCGGCAGTTGCGACATAGCTACCAGAAAGCCCTAGGCTTAGGAGCGCAGGCCTTAACCTCCAGAAAGCCCTCTCACCTATGACTAACAGGGCATAGGCGTAGCCATCAGATTTGCTGCCACTTGAAGAAAACACCCAGGTGGGGTCTGAGAAGCTAAGCTTTGCTTTCTGGCTCACACGGCCACATTTGCTCCTGGAAGTAGCAGTCCTAGTGGGAACTAGTGGTCGTATCTCTTTGATACAAAGTATTTATTTTATTTAAATTTATTTAAAATTGTGGGAGCATCACATACATCCTAGTGAAGGGGGAGACAACCTTGCTTTGTAGCTGGAGAACAAGCAAGGGTCGAATCATTGTTCAGAGTTCACTGATCCGGATCTTACGGGATTTCCCTGCTGACAACTTCCTTTGCTTGAAAAAAAAAATCACATATTTTTGCCCTCAATTTTTATGTCCTTTCTCAACCACAAAACCACCAAGTCCAATGTCTGGGATGTTGAGTAACTTCTGTAGTGCTAATTGGAATAAAGAACTACAGGCTGAAGAAAGGGGTAATCGAGGGCATTTTGCAATAAGCATCAGCAAGGAAAAGCAGGAGCCAGTCGGGAATTTCGTGATGGCTCTCCAGGGCAGGCTTGGTCTCGGTCTGCACAAAGTGTGAGCATTTGTAGTGTTGCTGCTTTGGATCAGCTCGCCCAGCAACACTCAGCTTAAATACCCTTCAATCCTAGATTTAAAAAACATTCTAAATTACTTTATCATTTTATGTATACTGAAGTTTTGCATATATGTCTGTGCGCTGCCAGTGTGCTTGGTGCCAACAGAGGCTAGAGGAGGGAGGTGGAGCCCCTAGAACTGGAGTTACATATAGTAGTGAGCTGCCACATGGGTGCTAGGAATTAACCCAGGTCCTCTGGAAGAGCATCTCTCCAATCCCTCCTTTAACCCAATCTTACGAGTTCCTCCAGGCAGCATATGACTTCATCTTTAACCTGCTCTGAGCTATGGTGGGGTTAGCCAATGGTGGGGGGCTTCTCTGCAGCCTGAAAACAACAGAGGACCAGTGAATGTGTGTGTGTGTGTGCGCGCGCGCACGCACCAGTGAGAGAGTGTGCATGCATGCTTGTTTCTGAGTATAGAACCCAGGGTCTTACACATCATCTCTGCCACTTTGTAGCATCCCCAGCCAAGTGAGTGGGTGTGTGTAAGCTGAGCAAATTCACAGACAGTACAAGGAAAATGCAGACAGGATCGCCAGCACTGTGACCCCAGCTACTCAGAGGCCTGGGTTCAAGGCCAGCTTGGGCAAGGTAGGAAACTCTTTTTGAGACAGGAAGAAAAAAGAGCTAGAGCTGCAGCTCAGTGCTAGAGCTCTGCCTTGGACGTGGGGGATTCTGACCTGAATCACCAGCCGAGATGGGAGACTGCGACCCTGCAGTTCTGGGGAGATGCATGGTGAACAGAGAGAACCACAGTACGTCCATTTGTACTTAGTTGTGTGGTGTGTCCTAGGTGCCCGTCTTTGAATGCCGCCTACACTCTTAGGAATTCTAGTTCTTGATGAGGACACGCTGAGCTGACCTACCTGGCTTGTGGCACTGGACCCATGTGTGCACAGCCAAGCCCACCGCCACTCTCCAGTTGCTCTGCCTAGGGAACCATAACTGCACAAATGTCATTCATTCGCTGACCGTGGTGTGTGCACTGGGCACAAGGAACTCTCCTTGGGGAGCTGAGCTGGGCTGGCGGAGGCTGGCTGTAGACGACATCTAAGTAGGGTTCTCAGGGAGGAAAAGCTCTGAGAAGAGTGAGGACATCCCTGACAGCAACACCAGCCCTGGCAAGAGCCTGGAGGAACGAGATGTCATGGCTTGTCTGAGCTGAGGGAGCGTGCAAGGCAGGAGATAGGAAGGAGTACAGGAGCCATGGTCCAGTGACGAGCCACTGGGCCTCTAGACAGCAAGGAGCCATCAGAGGATTTGGAGCCCCAGAGTGCTAGTAAATCTATTTTTGGAAAATTACTGGCCGAGGAATGATAAATGCCTGGAGAGAAGGGAGGTTTTGCAATCCCCCTGGAAGAGAGGGGAGCGTGTATCTGAGCTGGGCAGTGACACCGTGGGGCTGTGTCAGGCTGGATGGAGACTAGTGCCGCAGGCAGGGAGGGCTAAAGATTTGTTGCTGGTGTGAGTGGGAGGCAGGGGACATTTCTGAGGGAGATGAGATTTGGGGTGAGGGTGAGGGCAGCTCTGAGGATTCTTTAGATTGGGGCAATGTTTTCATCCACACCAGGTAGCCGTCTGAGTGGATACAGCTGCCAGACTGTGGAGCCAGGATGCCTGGGATCAGATCTTGACTCTCTGGCTCTGTCTGACCCTGAACAATCAATGAACTCGGTGTTTCAACATTTGCACTCATAAAATAGTGGGGTGCCACATCATGGTAGTTAAGAGGCTGATCATAAAATAATGGGGAGCCGTGTCATGGTAGGTAAGAGGCTGAGCAGCTCTCAGGAGCAGGGCCTTGGAACACTAGGCAGGAGACAGCTATTTAACAGCCATGAAAGTAATGCCCAGTTCACCTCTCTAAGAACTCAGAGTATTCAGAACCAATACTCAGAACACTATTAAACAATGCCAAGTGCCCTGCAGTGACTGCTGGAGTGAGGAGCAGTTAGCGATGTCCCCCTTAGTCATTACATAGCTAGAGCACCTACCAACATCAGGATTCTCTAAGGAGCCGTAAGAGATGAGCCTGGACAAGAGGACCCAGGCAGGCTGTGTTAAATGTGCCAAGTAGGACACTGGAGGTGCCGAGTGATGGAGAGACAGGAGTAGTCAGGCACCAAGGAGCAAAGCCAGGGAAGAGGGTACAGGACGAAGCACCAGGGAGAAGGTGCCCAGAGGCAGGTCCTGCTAAGGGACATGTGCAGGCGGTGGGCATCCTGTCCACTCTGCCCTGCAGGGTGACTCTGGGATGTTCCTTATCTGTGCCCCTTCTGATGCAGGACTGCACTGTGCAAAGCATGTCAGCTAGACATAGGAACAGCTAAAACTGAGTCACAAGAGGAAAACCGAGCCAGCTTTAGAGGAGTTGGCTGCGGTGAGCATGGAGGGAGAGGACAGAGCAGTCCAACAGGCGGGGGTCTTTCCAGAAAGACTTTTTCCAGAAATTCCAGAAAGGTGGGAATTTTATTTATTTATTATTTATTTATTTATTTATTTATTTATATGATTTATTTATTAATTATGTATACAGTATTTTCAGTATTCTGTTTACATGTATGTCCGCAAACCAGAAGAGAGCACCAGATCTTATTACAGATGGTTGTAAGCCACCATGTGGTTGCTGGAATCGAACTCAGGACCTTTGGAAGAGCAAGCAGTGCTCTTAACCACTGGGCCATCTCTCCAGCCCCATCTGGTGGGAATTTCTAAGAGAAAACTAAGAACACCTTCCATCCTCCCACTGATTTAGCCTTGGGGTTAGTTTTCTTCCCAAGACCTCCCTCCCTCCTTCCCTGATATTTAGACAGGCCAGCCAGTGAGCCCTGGGGACCCACCCGTCTAGGTTCCGATCCAGCACCACAGTTACAGCTGAGTGCTGCCGAGCTAGGGTTTTCTACCTGGATGCCGGGGATCCGAACTCAGGTCCTCATGCTAGTGCAGTAGGCGCTTCCACCACAGAGCCACACCCAGCCCCATCCTTTCCGCTTCAGGTGATACGGAGCACTTAATGCACCTCCTGAGAGCAGCGGTGGTGACAAAGGCAACCATATACAAGTGGCAGGCTGGCTTTAGGAGGCCTTGGGGAGCTCACGAGCCCCACTTCCCTGCAGAGATTCATAAGGCATGCACTGGTTGTTCCAAAAGGAAATCACTCACCCCAGAAGAGCAAAAGGCCAAGTGAGCCAAAACACAGGGCTCTTCATTTACTGAGTCCTCTTGGTCATGTGTGTTAGCAGATCAACCTGGCACACTAAGGCGGCAAACAACTGGACACACACAAGAGCTCCTTGAGTGTATTTTGTGAGAGACTAAACCGTGTGAATTTACTCAGCTCTCAAGAACACAGAGGCATTTTAAGTTAGAAACAATAAAACTTCACCAGCTCCACACTTGGTACAGACCTCCACTCTTCACTGTCTGCAGCATTCAAGTACCTCACTTGTACAGCAGCTGTGCCTGGAAACTCAGTCTTCTGGAAGACGGGGTGTGCCGCCCTTCCCAGTGTTTTTCTATGTGAACACCAAGCCACAGATGTGCTACAAATGGGGCTGGGGTGTGGGGATAAGAATTAGAGACATTGTACAGGCGAACTCACCATGCTGGCTGCCAGGTGTCGGGGCTCTCCCCCTCCATTCCAGAGTTGAGTGGTTCCTCTTCTAAGGGTCAATGGCAGGCAGGCTTTCTACGTGCCCCCCCCCCACCACACTTCTAGGGGATGAAGCACTTCACCCACTTGAAACCAACACTGCAGCCCCACAGTGATGCCCACTGCTCCTGTGTATGGGATCCAGAGCTGCACAGGGGGCACTCTTGCCAAGTCTCAAACTACCAAAGAACACACATATTTTAGTGTGTGTGCGGGGGGGGGGGGGTTTACTAAGAATAGGCAGCAGTGTGTCGGCATTCTCGTGCACATGCTCGTGGTTGTGTACTAAAAAATGGTAACAGGGTCAAAATTCACTGGTAAGATTAATGCAGGAGAGCTGGGATGTTTTTGTTGCATCGTAGGCTGTATCAGCTTTGAAAACGTTTACATTTCTGAGACTGCCATGTGCTGCTCTGGACTGTGGGTCCCTGTGCCTAAGAGTCAGTGCACCTGGCTGCCATGTGAGGCAGGTCAGGGCTTCCCCTGCACGTGCCATGTGGCCATCTTGGATCTACCTTCTTCCTGATTAGTTCGGAGCTAAGGACCGCCACAGTCCCAGTGATGGAAGCAGAATCCATTGCTGATAGTGATCTCAAAAAGTCCAAGACCATACAAAAGAAAACTCCAGAATGTCCCTCATGAACTGAGAAGAGATTTTAGCCTATCAGCTGTGCCTCTAACCGCAGCTGGTTCAGAGGCTGAGACAGGACTGAGTCAAGGCCATCAAAATGTTGTCTCTAACAAATCTAAAACCACATTTCCCAGAAACCAAACTTAATATATAAAACAGATGGTGAGTCAAGGTGAAGGGAGTGGGGTTGATCCAATATTTAAAATTCAGTCAATGTAAATGACTACATGAGCTGACCAAACGAGACCACCAGATCATCTCAGAGATGCCAAATTTGTTTTAAAATGACAGGACTCATTACTGATTTCTAAAACAATACCTGAAACCAGCAAACATAAAAAGATTTTCCTTAGGTTTTTGTTTATATTTTTCCCAGAGCTTCCCATGATAAACTTGGGATAAGAATTCTTCTTGTGGCCTTGAATGACATGCTGTCCTCTTTGGCCCTTCTCTTGCACCCCGACATCCCTAGCTGTTCTTGAACCTGCCGGCCTTTGTGTTTAGTTCCTCGGTGATGAGTGATCTTCCCTGAGATGACAAGCTGGTTCCCTCTGCTGTGTTTCATGCAAGTTGGTGTCCATTCTAATGTCACCTCTCTAGATGGTCCCTCTCAATAGTGCTTTGTAGAGTATCCCTTCTTCTCCCTTGACAGTCACCTCATTTGTTTCTGGTTGGTTTCATTCCCCATTAAGACAGACCACTACCAGCTCCACTCAATCCATGACCCTTAAAGCAGGCCACATGTTCAGTGCTGTACCCTGGGCCTAGACTGTGACCAGAACATGGCATTTCTCAACAAGAAAGTAAATGAATAGGAAGGCCCAACTTTCCACAGCCTCGCCATGATACAGTCTTTACACCACATGCCAGTTGATCACGTGGAAAACAACGGCTCATTCGTTATTTCTTCCCTCTAAGTGAGCTTGAGTATCATGCCTTTTCAGCTTGGCCTTTGAATTGCCCCGTTTTTCCCCGGTTGCTCTGCAAGCACCATTGCTGTATCAAATAAACTGCTCCTCTGCCCACTGTGTGCGCAGACACGCCGCCCGGGTGCTCCTCTGCCCACTGTGTGCTCCTCTGCCCACTGTGGCTCAGACACGCCGCCCGGGTGCTCCTCTGCCCACTGTGTGCGCAGACACGCCGCCCGTGTGCTCCTCTGCCCACTGTGTGCTCAGACACGCTGCCCCTGTTTGCCATTTGTCATGGTGATGCTGCTCATCTTCTCTTGTGGCTTCCAGTTTGAGATAAGCTCAGGTCTTCCCCAGACCCAGCATCAATCATCCTGTGTCCTCAGCATCCTTACACATGTGTAAGTGAATACTTACACTGTTTAGATCTTTGACCCACCCGGGATCAGCTTTATAAATAAAGTGAAACATAATCTAATCTAAGAAGCAAATTCAAAGCCAGTCACGCTGGTGCATGCTTGCAATCCCTGATTCAAGATGGAGATGCATTGAGGCCAGCCTGGGCTACAATAGTGAATTCCAGGCTAGCCTCAGCTGCACACTGAGTTCTCGGTCTGAACTAAATGGCTAATTCCCATCTTGGAAAAAGAAAGTTGAGCTTTAAAATCCAATGAATACAGGTTTCCAGGTGTCATTTACACAATTTTTTACTTTCCTGAAAAAAACATTTATGAAAATAATTCAAAGTTCACATATTTTACAATGCATATAAAGATATATATCAATATGTATATGTATAGAATAATGTGTTTCCCACAATTCCCTAAGATCCGATGTTATCCTATAGAGCATGCCCTTCTCTGGTTCTCAGTGTCTTCTTACTTTTTTGGGTCTTGACCTCCTTTTTGATTCATTGTATTTTTTTTCAAAAAGATTCTTTTCAATTAAGCTCACTTCTTCATGGAGAACAGAAGTCTTTATTCTTAGTAAGAACGAGAAGATGTTTAGTATAAACTGGTAACTCAGAGAAAAGTTTGACTCTTCATAGGTTGTCACATGTTTACAGTAGCTAGAATGGGAAGGAAAAGGAGGTAAATTATCTTAAAATAGTAACTCAGAAACTCTGGCATCCATCCACTGACACCCCCAAATCCCTCTGCCAGTATATATGGTTAAAACAGTATTATGACTTCAAAGGAAACTTGGGAAATTTGCTGAGGTCCTTAATTATATGAAGAGAAAATTCTTCACAGTGTCTATGGTTGCTATGCTGGGGACAGGAGGGGCTCACTGTACCAGTCTCGATTTCTAAAATGTTTGGTCTAGCCCGTAGTTATGTTTAAAGACAGGTACACACCCACCCCTGGGTCATCATTCTGAGCAGTGTGATCCATGTGTGTGTGGCCCTAAGTTCCCAGGATTTTGCTGTCTGTTCATTTGTTTTTTAATTAACGAAGAACCTACGACCCCCACTTTACTATCCTAACTACACTCTATGTCCATCCTTCCATCCACAAGTAAGTGCAGTCCTCGTCCTCATCGAGGAAACCTCTCTTTGCAATAGATGGGGCCAGTCCAGAAAACTACAGCCAATCAAAATGCAGAGGTGTGCAGCCCAGTCCTAATGGAAACATTTACAAAGTACTCCTGCACCTCAGGCTCAGGGCACTCAGCAGAGGAGGGGCAGAGATGTAAGAGGCAGAAGACCAGGAATTTGCTATGAGACTATGTCGTCTAACATCGGAAGCTATACCCATAAAGTCTTACAACTGCCTAAACTCGAGCTGAACAGGACAATAGACATGCCAAAATGGATGGGGAGGAGAGGAGCCCACGAGGCCTCGACATTGCCTCGAACTACAGGCATAAGGCATGCCGAGAGCAGGGAAAACAGTCTTCCCCAGAGAACAACACACCACTTGGTTAAGCAATAGCAAATGGTCAGCCCTGCAAACATACATGCACATAACACTATAAAGACTGAGCAGGGTGTACTTATGTATTTAGGAATACATATGTATATACATACATGTATGTAACAGTGAAAAAGGGGGCAAGATAGTGCATCTGAAAGATAGCAAGGAAGGGTTTTGGAAAAGTCTGGAAGGAAGAAAGGGAGGTATGAAATAGTGTGATTATATTATAACTTCATGGAAGAAAAGAAAGGGGCACTCCTCAGGCAGAGCAGGAGGTCTCCTCATGCCTCATGCTTCTGGAGTGTTGAAAACATACATACCTTTTGCAGAATTTCTGGGTACTGAGCCAATACAGTGAGTTCTTGGTTATCAAGGACTGGCCTTTCGTTATCAGGAGTCCCTGGAGGCTATGTCCATGGAAACAAGGGCTATCGGTGTCTCCTTCAGTCCAGCTGAACTGAAAACTTGAAGGGGCCTTCTTTTCCACCACAGGTGTTGTGCCGAGCAGGGCACTGAATTGCTTCTGAAGATTCTTCACCATTTCTGCAGGTGGAAGGCAGAGGCAAAGGTCAATTCACAAGTAAGCCAGGATTTGTAAGAATGGACTAGTGTTGGCTTCTTAGCCTCTGGGGTGGGGGGGGCAATCTAGTCTCCAACTCAGGAGCCGCCTCCCTCCATATTCTGAGTGCACACTCGCACCCAGCTGGTTTCATAACCGCAGTAACATGCGGGTGGCCTTAGGTGAGGCTGGAGCTGCGTGAGGGGCCTCAGGAAGTTACTTAACAATGATTGAAGAAGAACACCAGACAATCTCAGGGCCAGTTTCCCAACAGAGCTCTCGCAGTCACAGATATTGCTGGGCCCTTAAGCTCTGCTGTGAAGACGCAGGCAAATTCCCGGATGTCTATGTGGTTTCTCCTTTGGCAGGAATTAGACACGAGCACATCCCCATCGAGTGGGAAGTGTGTTTATGCATTGGCTTTCCATGTGCAGACAGCTGATACTACCAACTCTACTGCTACCTGGTACCCAACAGGAACCAGCAGACTCACCTCTTCTCTTATACGCGACTGACTTGTCGATGTGCGAACGGTAGATCGGTCTTTTGGTTTTCCAATAATATCTAAACACGGTTGGAAAGAAGTGAAACAGAATGAGGGACAAACGTCCACACAGTTCAGAGACGGAGGCAGAACCTGAAGCTCAGTGGCTCCAGGCACTTGTCTACATTCTCTCAGGGCTTCCATTTCTGCAGGAGTCAGGGACCCTTTAGGCGCCACTACACAGCATGCAGTAGAGCTGTTTCTATCACCACACACAACCGTGCTGTTTACTCTCATTGCTTCTTCTCCTGCCTTTGCCCCAAATGCTCATCTCTGAGTGCTGTCCTCAGGAATCTGATTTGGAACCTCATACAAAATAGATAGTGATTGCCAGTCTCTCTGGCACACATTCTCTTCCTGGTGAGAAGAAGGAATGGCCCAGATTCTAGCATGACAGACTTAAGACCATCCCTTCGCCTGCAAAGGCAACCTCCTCCTAGGGGAAGGGCAAACAGGCGTGTTCATCGCAGAGAGGTGCTGGCCTGAGCTGGTCCACAGGGTCCCCGACCCGCACCCCAGGGCAAAGGCTAAGTGCCATCTGGCATTCCCGCAGGTGACTGGTGACATAACCACCTCTGGCCCAGGAGAGGCTGCTGGTGTGGGACAAGATGATGACATGCTTCTAAGCTCACGTTCATCCTGCCTGTGCTACCTAAAGGAGGAGACTTCTAGAAATCGCAATAAAAGTATTTATCTTGATTCAGGCCTCTAAAAGAAAAAAAAGACACCATGGCAGCAGAAAAGGACACGGAGTCACGGGGTCTGATCTGCTTCCTCCAGGGTCTAGCAGCCCAAGTGACCACGTAGGCTCTGGAAGGCAGAGGCTCTCTTATATCCTTTATACCCTCTAGGGCATACAGTAGGCATTCAACTGAAGTGTCGTTAACAGTAGATGGGATGGCTGGGCAGTGGCGGTGCACACCTTTAATCCAAGCACTCAGGATACAGAAGCAGGCAGATCTCTGTGAATTAGAGGCCAGCCTGATCTACAGAGCAAGTTCTAAGACAGGTTCCAAAGCTAGAGAGAAACCCTGTCTTGAAAAACAAAAACAAACAAACAAAAAGAGATGGGATGGCACTCTTTAGGCATTCAAATTAAATATTTGTTTATTATAATGGAATAAATGAATAAATGAACCAACAACCACATTTAGCTTTTGTGCTGTTTCCTACCCTTACAGGACTGTTATGGGAGTAATTTGTGACATATTTGTGAGGTCTGGAGTGGTGGTTGAGAACACCTTTAATCCCAGTGCTCAGAATGCAGCCAGGACAACATGGTGAGACCCTGTCTCAACAACAACAATAAAAGAGATAACATGTCTTGTTATGTAATGCCAGGAATGTGGTACAGCCCTGTAATCTCAACACTCAGGAGTTCAAAGCCAGCATGAACTACATGGTGAATTTGAGGCCAATCAGGGTTCCATGAGATTCTGTCTTAATAACAAGAGAAACAACCACCACATTACACTGTACAAGCCCTGTGTAGACATTAGATGTGATATATCTAGTGCTTGGCAGAGTGCCTGGTTGCCTGGCTCAGAGGTATTAATGAAACAAGCAGAACCTTCTAGAAAAGACACTAAGGAGCAGGAAGTCAAAACCACAAATATCTCTATTTACCTATAAAACTTAAAAATTGATACTCTTCTCATTTCTAAGGGTTAGTTAAGAAAATACATGTGGACTTTTTAGTAATGTTAGGGATAAGTGACAAACATCACTTTACCAAATTTAGGAACTGAGATTTTTCTCAAATATTAAAAAATTCAAATTAGTTAGGTGTGGTGGTGCACACCTTTAATCCCAGCACCCAGGAAGCAGAGGCAGGTGGATCTTTGAGTTTGAGGTCAACCTGGTCTACAAAGTCAGTTCAAGAACAATCAGGGCTACACAGAGAAATCCTGTATTGGAAAAAAACAAAACAAAACAAAACAAAAAAACCCAAAAAGCAAAACAACAACAAAATATCAGTGAGGTGTCATTAGCTCTATGGTGAGTCTGTGATTTTCTAAGACATCTCTTTACAATTATCATTTATTTTCCTAAGTGATAGTGTAACAAGTACCCTGTATAGTCACGGCCTTAGGAACACCCACTCTTACGCTTTCCTTAGGAGCTGGGTCTACACAATATTTCTTGTGCACTGGTAATGAAGGCCTAGACAAATGGCCACCACCATAATCAAGGAGGCATTACTACCACCCAAGGCCAGATGCCCAAAAGATGGGAGAGTGATTGAAGATGACAAAGTTCCAACTGTTTGGACACCCTTCTGAAATGGAGTCTTCTCCAGATATCAGCCCCCCTTTGTCTGCTTCTCCAAGGACACAGAGGTTCCCAAACAGACACATCACAAAGGCCTTGGGTTTCTAGCTAGACCCTGACTATGCTTCCTCATCTTTACTTGGTTTGTCTGACTGTTTGGGAAGAAGGATGAAGGTGTAATTTACATCTAATGAAACCCCTTTCAGGGCACTTCCAATTAGCATTCTCACTAGCTGTGTAATCAGCACTGTGACTAACGCAGACAGCCCCAGCGCTCCAACAGCCAGGGCCCTTTGTAGTCGTCCTTCCCACACCCTTCATCTAGGTAGCCACGGTCTTTACCCTGTAAGCTTGGCCATTTTCAGAATGTGATATAAATAGATGTGTATGGCATGCAACCTTCTGGCCCTCTGTTTAGCACATAAGACTCAGGAGTCACTGCTGGCTGGATGGGAGGCTTTGGTTTGTATTCTAAGTGGGCTGTGTGGCTGTGTGGTGTGGACATGCCAGCTACTCTCTCTCATTACCAGCAAGTCACAAAAGCATTTCTATATGGACTTCTGTGGAAACATAAATTTTCATTTTATTTGAACTCTTCAAAGTAGCTGTACCATTTTAGACCCCAATACTTGGTATGTGCAATTGTATTGAAAATGGACCCTTCTAATTATAGTAGACATCTTTCCTTGTGTATCCTGTACATCTTCAGTTTTTTCATTGAAAAATTGAGTTGTTTTCTTATTTTATCAATTCTTTATATTTTATAAATAAAAATCTTTCATCATATATGTAACCTTCAACTACTCTTTTTTCTCTCTTTCACTTTTTTTTTTTTTTTTAAAGACAGTGTCTCACTATCCTAGAAGTCACTCTGTAGACCAGGCTGGTCTTGAACTCAGAAATCCACCTGCCTCTGCCTCTTGAGTGCTGAGACTAATGGTATGCACCACCACGCCCAGTTTTCAGCTGTTTTCTCTAAGTCTAGGTTTTGTTTTCTCTTAAGCACCTTTGGAGAAATTTCCCCCTCTACAGTCCAATTTACCAGTTTCTCTTTTTTTCTATTATTTTAAAGAAATTATTTACTTTTATTTTATTTGCATTGGAATTTTGCCTGCAAGTATGTCTGTGTGAGGGTGTCAGGTCTTGGCGTCAGAGACAGTTGTGAGCTGCTGTGTGGGTGTTGGAAATCAAACCCAACTCCTCTGGAAGAACAGTAAATGCTCTTAACCACTGAGCCATCTCTCCAGCCCACCAATTTCTGTTTTATGGATCATGGTTTTGATGTTATATCTAAGAAATTTTTACCTAACCCAAGAGATCAGCGAGCCTTTTCTTTCCATCTTACCTCCCTCTATTCTTCCTTTGTGTGCATTTATGCGCACGTGTGAAGGCCAGAGGTCAACTTCAGGACCCACTTCACCTTGTTTTTTGAGGTAGTGTCTCTCATGGGGACCTGGAGCTTGCTAATTGGACTGACTAGACTGGGCAGCCCACAAGCCCTAGGGATCCTTCTGTCTCTTGTATAACCAGTGCTGGGATTCCAGGTGTGTACTCACATCTAGCCTTTATATGGGTGCTGGGGATTGAACACATGTCCTGATGCTTGCTGGCTGTGAGATCTCCCCCGGCCCAGCAATGAGTTCTGCATGTGCTCTGGAACTTCACCCAGGTTCTTCTCAACCCTGTGCTAAGCTGGCAGCTGTCGAAGCCGCCTACTAAGCTGGTTTAGACGATTGTTTTTACCAGCGTTCTTCATAATCTCATGCAGAGTACCATGGTTAACTTCAGAAAAGTGTTAATGACCATCTGACAGCCCAAAAGATAATGTCCAGAGCAACAGGGAGTCCTGGTTCCGTCCCAAGTAATAAATAAACAAATAAATAAAATAATAAGTAATTCATACTTCAGTGTTAGAATCAGTGTATGTCTCAAAATACTAGCATTTAGCTACATTAGAGGAGTATTTTGCAGCCAAAAGGAATAAGTCTATTTATACAATCCGTTTTCCAGGGAGACACTAGGCCCCAGGGTATAGCTGTCTAGAGGGTCCCATATCAAATCATCCTCTACACAGTGTATGATAGTGTGCTAATACACAGAGGCAGTGGCAGCCTCCACTAACTGATGTCAGTCACTGCCACCACAGAGTCCCTGGGCATGCTGAACACCTGCCTCTTGGTATCACTATGACAACCCATTTTCACAGAAATTTATATTTTCTGCCTTCCTTAAAGAAAAAAAAATCAACTAACTAGAATGTACAGAACCAACATTTCTGGAGAAAGGTTACATGCTACCAAGATACACATTGCAAAGTGCAAAACGGGACATAGGGCAGGTGAGCAGAGGAGGGGACACGGGGCAGGTGAGCAGAGGAGGGGACACGGGGCAGGTGAGCAGAGGAGGGGGACCTACTTGGCCCTTGCTTCTTCCCACTGTCGTCTTTTCTCATCAAAGGTTTTCTTCATAACTTGGTACCATTTTCTGAAATCAAACTGCGGTTTATCTGAGAGAAATGAAACCCATGGTTAGCAGTAGAACTCGTTCATTAAAACAACACATTATCACATCTGAATTTATTCCAAAATAGAACACTTACATGACAGCTCTCAGAGAGGATGAGCAGAGCCACCGTCTCCACAGCAGCGTTCATGCTATCTGACACTCTCTCCTGTAAGTTGTGACCTATACTGTAGCCCCACAGACTGTCCTGAAATGTCCTTTACACATTTCTCCTGGGCTTTAAAGGGTTTTTGCTGCCTCCTGGAGAAGGCCGCTACACAACCAGACCCCTCTTCCCCAGTTCCCACACCCAGCATGTGCACCCCAGTCCCTGGCAGAACTGTGATGAGAAGCACATGATTGGGAAAGACACTGTGGTGCTATGGCGGATCAATCCAAACTGGCATTCCCTCAGGACCTGTTTCTATTCTTCCACTCCTAATTCAGAGAGTCCGACCATGAAGAAGGAAGCAGACACAGGCACAGACAACAGACTTGGACACAGCAAGTATACACAGGATAGCTCTCTATTCTCCTCCAGTAAGAATGGCCTTTTTCATGTCTAATTACAAATGTTTTCATCTGGCCAATATCAACAAACAATACAGCCTTGAAGGCCATACAGCCAGAGAAAGGAAACCACCCAAAGAACTGGAAGGGCAGAGGAAAACTAAGAGTTAGTCAACTCAAGTTCTTGACCCCCCAGTCTCCTCAAGGGGTAAAGGGGATGGCGGGATGGTACCTAGGGCAGTATAGGGCATGGACCACAATCCTGTGCTGTTGATGAGAGACATACTATGAAGTCTACAAGGACAACATTAATGTGGGATTCCCCTCTGTATGCTGTGAATACCATTGGTTAATAAAGAAACTGTCTGAGGCCTGTGATAGGGAAGAGCAGAGATAGGTGGGGAAAGGTAAACTGAATGCTGGGAGAAGGGAGGCAGAGTCAGGGAGAAGCCATGGAGCTGCCGCTAGAGACAGACATGTTGAAACCTTGTTGGTAGGCCATGAGCCTCATGGTAAAATATAAAATAATGGAAATGGGTTAAATTAAGATGTAAAAGCTAGCCAATAAGAAGTTAGAGCTAATAGGCCAAGTGATTTAATTAATACAGTTTCTATGTGGTTATTTCAGGAGTCTGGGCGGCCTCCTACTACACAACATGGCAAAGTGATCTCTTAGCCATGTCTCCATTACCGACCATCACCTCTAGCACTGAAGGAGCAGCAGAAGATGTCAAGTTCAACCCTATGTACATGTTACTGTAAGCACTGGACAGGAAGGAGTGTTTCACTTCACATATGTTATGGAAAACACATGAACTGAGAATATTAAACCCAAGCTCCTAAAACTAATGAGCAAAAATCTTTCTACAAACAAGAACCCTTCCTAAATTTAAGAATTCGTGTAGACACAAAACTACACAGATTGTGTCTACACGATAAACTTTTCAAAAAGCAAATGGGAACCTGTGGGCACTTGATTATAACCCAGCTACTTGGGAGGCTGAAGCAGGAGGATCGTAAGTCAAGTACAACGTGAAACAAACCACATGGGCAATTTAGTGAGACCTTGTCTTAAAATGAAAAAGCAAAGAGAGGCTAAGTGCATAGTTCAGTGTAGGCGAGCTGGCCAAGCTATGCAGAAGTCATGTGTTCCATGCATAGCAGCTATCTGTCTACTTACCAGCTACAAACTGCATGCCACACAGTCACCCGAGTTTACAAACACCGGCAGTCTAACAGAGACAGAGGGGCAGATAGACTTAGGCCATTAGCTATCATTACACATGGAGTTAGTTCTATTTCAGGACTACCCAGTGGAAGTCTGCACAGCAGCAGTGGTGGCAGGCGTGATCAGCTCTGGCTCTGGGAAAGGGGGACTGGTGTGAAGGGAGTGGGTGTGGGGAGTGGGCAGGAAAGTGCTATTAATGCTGCTCATGGGAGAAGCCTGAAGAGCAAGTAGAGGGACCAGCACAGGCAGCCCCAGAAGCCACACTGCTGCAGAAGCTCATGGTCTGGTCTGGCTAGAGAGCAGCAAGCAAGAATTAACAACAGATGAGTATAGAACAAAAGAGAAACCACTTGAGTCTCTTGGTAGCCACAGATACAACAGTCAGACCTACAGATGGAAGAGACAGCACAAGGCCCAGGTGGTACACATACGAACACACATGTATGTGACTGTCCATCATTCTCCTCCACACTGACTACCTTTTAATCCATCATTTACAACCCCTTTTCAATTTGACTGACGCAAAATCCATGTACCTTCTTTGTGTTCTTCATTATATGTTTCAGCAAGCCCAGCGTAAGACCTGGAGAATACAACCACAAGACAACTTATTTAGATGGCATGTGTCTAGACACTGAATTTTTTATTTGACTTTAATTTTTTGAGACAGGGTCTCACTGGGTAGCTCCATCTGGGCTAGAACTTTCCTTTGTAGACTAGACTGGCCTTGAACTCACAGAGATCTGCCTGCCCCCATCTCCTCAAGTGCTGGGATTAAAGGTGTGCTCCACCACCCCCAGGTTTGACAGGGGAAAGCAGAAAAGCTGGAGAGCAATCACTATCCTGGAAGAAGACCCTGAAGATCTTCATCCCTGTGACTTTTAAGAGAGTAACACTGCAAAGCACTGTTAGAATCGAAAAGAATCTCTGAGTGACATGGTGCCAGGAGCCTAAAGGAGCCTGATAGGGTGCCAATTACTCTTTACAATGTATAATGCTTTAAAATCCAGAAATACAAGGGCTGATGAGAGATGCTTCCAGCTCAGAAGCAGGCATAATCAGGTAGCTGAGGTACTTGCTAGAAACCCATGTCTACAGCATAGCAGACACCACAGTCTGCTGGAAAACACCGGTTCCCACAATCTGAGTAACTAGCAAAAGCTATGCTACATTTCTTCCCATTTTTTTTTTTTTCTTCCTCCCTGAGACAGAAACCCTACAGGGTTTCTCTGTAGCTTTGGAGCCTGTCCTGGCACTAGCTCTGTAGACCAGGCTGGCCTTGAACTCACAGAGATCTTTCTGCCTCTGCCTCCCGAGTGCTGGGATTAGATGCACACGTCACCACCACCTGGCATTGTTATTTTTTTTAAAAAATGGAGTCAGTGTGATAAAGAGCCATCTGTCATCAACTTACCATTCTAATTTGTCATCCAGCAAAAAGAGTAGTTTTAACACTACCACAATGACAGCCACAGCCTGCACGTCATATTTAACTGTCCTTTTCTTTTTAGCTATAGGATCAAATGTCAGGAAGTCCACTTCTCCGATTCCAGTCAGCTTTACCACTTGGCAGGTCAAACTGTGCATTTCGTCTGTTGAAAAGTAAACAGTTAAACACAGATTAAATCACTTGGTTCACTAGGCTACAGTAATATACACATTCACCAAGTGTCTTTACGTATCTGCTTTGTTTGTAAGGCAGGTTCTTGCCGTATAATTCATGTTGGCCCCGAACTCATGACTAATGCCTTAGTCTCTGGAGTGGAGGCTGGGATTGTACTCTGTAGGTTTGCAACACCTTACCCAGAAACCTTTTATTTAAAATGTGATGCCACGTAGGAATTTGGAAAGCAATGTTTGATAAATAATACTAGAAGATGAGGCCAGTGTAGAAATAGTAATGGGTGGATCTTGGCAGTCCTACCTGACTTCCTAAAACATTTATGTGTGGGACACATTGGGGTCGCATGCAGACAGCCACACATCAGCTTTGTGCTGCTCCATACCTGTCCCTCGCCTGTGTCTCTACAGCAAGGTATACTTAACCTGTGTGTGGGATGGACCTCCAGGAAGCACCCAGCTGCTGGGTGCCATGGAGCCCTGGAGGCTCAACAAGCTCTCAGTTAGAGTCTCTGTTTTCCCAAAGAAACTAAGCATTCAGTGTAGGCTATATCTACAGTAGAAAGCCGAATCACGGGAGACTTAGAACCTGAAACCCTAGGCCCTTCCCCACCAGTAGCACTCTGCATTTCTAGTCCGATGTGACATCCAGGGCTGCCTGTCTCACAGGAGGCATCAGGGTTGCCTGGCACGTGTGTTCTGCATGAGAGGCTCTGACTCTCAGCACAGCCCTCGTGGCCCTAGAGAGCTCGCTGGTTTTCCACACGTGCGAACATTAGCAGGCTTCCAGCACTATGTGGGTTAGCCTCCAGGATACAGCAGCTGTTCAAGAAGGATCCCCAGATAGCTCAGTTCAGCCTTGAGCTCTTTCTTACCTCTCAAGGGCTGACATCACATTTGGCTGGTACTTTTGTTCTAAATTAGATTTGTTATGCAGCACTAATGCTCTCAGGTAAAGAGCATAGCTTTTCCACACAGGCCATCAATGGCCCACGCTGAGAAACTCGCTGCTCTGTCTGCACTTAGACCCACCACAAAAACCACATGAGTTCTTTCAAGCATAAGTCATTCAGAACTAGACCTCTGTTTCTCAGTAGTGTCCCTTTAACCACGTTGTATGGTCTGAATTATTTTAAGAAAGCATTTGAATTAAATTCCTATTAGTAGGGACTCCCTCAGGTAGCTTGAGTAGTCTGCAGCTGAAAGAAAGGCCCTTCTGTTCTGCTTAAAAGATGACGTAGGTACCACCTCCCCTCCTCCCCTGAACACCACAGCTCACCAGGGAGATTGAACTCCAGTAAATATTTCATGCACAAGACGTTGGGATGAAGGTAGCAATCTTCAGTTATGTCTGGAAAACGAGGTAGATCTAAAAATATGGCGACTTCAATCATGTTTTTATAGATGTCTTCATAGTCAGGCCAAGACTGAAATGTAAAAAGACACAATCAAGACAGTAATTATTGCAACAAAAATTATTTTAAAAATATTTTCTTTGGGCAGTGGTGGCACATGGCTTTAATCCCAGAATCTGGGAGGCAGGAGCAGGCGAATCTCTGGATTCCAGGCCAGTCTAGTCTACATAGTGAGTTCCAAGAGAGCCAGAGCTATACAGGGAGACCCTGTCTCAACAAAACAAAGAAACAAAAAAAATATTTTCTTAAAATTATTTTAAAGGTATTTTCTGATTTAAGATTAATATATGGGGAAGGAAGCTCAGCAGTTAAGAGCTCTTGTAGAGAACCAAAGACCAGTCCCCAGCACCTGCAGCAAGTGATTCAACTCAGTCACTTAAGTCCAGCTCCAGGAGAGCCAGCACCCTCTTCTGGCCTCCATGGGTACCTGCATGCACATGTGCATATATGCGCACATGCAAATAAATAAATAAGTAGATAAATAAATGCATGAATGAATAAATAAAATCTTTTTTAAAAAGTAGTGTGTGGGTCAGTACGATGACTCACTAGGTACACATGCTTGCTACCAAGCTTGATGAACTGAGTTCAACCCTGGGACCCACATGGTGGAGGGAGAGAACTGGCTTTGACAAGTTGTTCTCTGAGGTTCGTATAACCATATAGCATGTGTACTGGGCACTTGTACCTCCCCCAACAACATAAGCAGATAAACAAATGCGGTAAGAGAACTGTGTATTTATTAGGCTGGGCGTGGCTGTGCACACCTTTCACCTAAGCACCTGCAAACAGGTGGAAGCAAATGTCTGAGTTCAAGGCCAGCTCTGTCCACACAGTGAGTGAGGTTCAGGTCAGTCACGACAACACAGGGAAACCCAGTCACACACAAAAATACTAGGTAGTCATTAAATAAAACTTAGAATATGGAGAAAAATGTGAAAGGTAAATACTCATAAACTTGGCAATTTTAATGTCACATAGTTCTACTTGGCAATCCACTCGAGTCACAGCGTTGTGTCACTGCTAACACCCCCCCCCATCCTCTCCTGTGCTTCCCCAGCTCACACACAGGCTCACACACAGGAGCAGCCTACAGTGACCTGATAGACACGCTCCCGTGAGGATGATAATGCCAGCTCAAAGTCTACAAATTAAAACTCTGCAGCTCAACTTCATACTATAGCCCCATACATAAAGGCATGGACAATCCTCTTGGAATTTTAGAAAAGTCTGGAGTTTCTAGAGAACATACTCTGCCCTTGTTTTTTTGCATCTCATTTGTCCACATGAAGCTTATGAACGTGCTGGTGTTATAAACCAGCATCTCATGGGGTTTCAGGAAACCCGAGGGGGACCCTGCTAAAGTTGTTCTTGACAGAAATGTTGCAAGCCTGTTGAGATACACACACATACGAGACACTGTATAACCACACTGTTTGCAGAAGCCAGAGCAGGAAACAACATGAATGTCTGTTGGGATGGGACTGATGAGTAGATCTTGGCATCTCACAGTGCAACGTGAATCAGCAATAAAATGCATGCTCTACATGCAATGTGAGGTTTCAAACCATAAAGTTCAAAGAAAGACGCCAGGCATAAGAGAAGGACGCGGTCTTAAGAAGGACAGGGCTCAGCAGTCTGGGGCTGAGTCTTGTGCACAGTTACGTCAGGACAGCTGTGATTCCATGGTAGGCTGGGGGAGATGCTGGAGGCTGAAGGCATGACTGCTGGGGCTGTGCAAACCCACTGTGCTGCACATGGTTATACCATGTGCGTTTTCCAGATGTCAGTTTACCTCAGTAAAAATTAAAAGGGGAGGAGGCAGGCAGTACCAGCTTAGTAAACTGCTCTGCACAGCAGCTTCATGGGGAAACAGTCTGAAGACCGTAGCTCAGGAAACCCACAAAATACTGTGGGAAGGTGCGGGCCTCCAACCCAATACTTCCCCAAGCAGGCACTCTACTGTTTCCTCTCTTCTTGGGAGGGGGTGGAGGCACATGTCCTCCGCTGAGAGCCCAGAGCCCTTCCAGCCCCAGACCTTCTACTTTTGAAGAGCTTACTAGTAAAACTTTTCCCTAGTAACAGGGCCAATCTCTCCCCACTCGCAGCTCAGGAAGACGGAGTTGTTGGAAAGTCCTGTTACTGAGTTGCATCTTTCCCGCCTACTAAATGTGTTAACGGGCTTGGGAGCCAACTGAAGGAATCATAATTTTTTTGATAAAATTTCATGTTGTTAAATTCAGCTCTTCACAGATGGAAGGGACAGGGGTGATATTTAACAAGGGTTCAGGATTAGGTCTACAGGAAGTAGTTCTGTGCTGACTTCTAGACTTCATATCTGTGCTCATTTTACCTTCCGGTGTCATCACAGCTATCCCTGCATTGTGCTTATTTTAACGTGATTTCATTATCTAGGTTTATGAATTTTACCTGGAGCAAAAAGCCTCCTAGTCCGTGCTATGTTATCAGCACAGATTCATCTACGGCTGGGGATACAGAGCGAACTGCTATCAGTTCAAAGGCAATGTGTTTTTTTAAAATCTCCTTAAAGTTGAAACAGGTAATTAAACTTATATGTTAAAATACTATTAACTGTATTCTAAGTTGCCAATTTAAAAGAGAAAAAAATACAAAACTTGCATCAGTCTTAGAGAAGTGTCTGTTTCCTTAAAAAATCATTTAGAACTCTGTTTCTCTGCAGAGAGCCTGGAGTATCTTTGAAGCTAGACAATTTTAGCATTGCTGACAGGATTTATGGCAGTCCCTAATCCTCTTAAATAAGGCAAGGAGGAGACATAAGTAAGTACTCTTTACCTTCAAGCAAAACACTACACGGCCCCTTAGAAAAATAATCACCTCACCCAAAAAAAGTGATTTAGTAGATGACAAACCCTGACAAACAGGTCGCTAATGAGCAGCAATTTGGTAGGCTAGTACACTAAGTATGTTTTCAGAACGGCCACACAAAGAGCTGATCCATCAATCTAAACAGCTTGTCATGAGCTGGCCGCCATCTTTTCAAATAGGAACAGAGGAGAAAACAATCACTCACAATGTAAATCTACTCACCTATGCTTCATGAAGATTCTAAACTTTCCTAATCTCAAGCTGGCATTTTAGATTTCCTATATAAGTATTTTCCTTGGCTTGTAGTTTTGCTTTGCAACCCAAGCTGGTCTAAAATTCATTAGGTAGCCCAGGCTGGCTTCAAACTTGTGAGCCTCCTGCTTCTACCACCCAAGTTTTAGGATTACACATGTTAACTACCAGTCCTGGGAAAATTTATTTATTTATTTATTTTTTATTGAGAATAAGAAAAAAAAAAGTTTCCACCTCCTCCCAGCCTCCCATTTGCCTCCCCCTCCCCCCCTTCATCTCCCCCTCCCCCCCCCCCTCTCCCCCTCCCTCTCCTATCCAAAGAGCAGTCATGGTTCCCTGCCCTGTGGAAAGTCCAAGGTCCTCCCCCCTCCATCCATGTCTAGGAAGGTGAACATCCAAACTGGCTAGGCTCCCACCAAGCCGGAACATGAAGTAGGATCAGAACCCCTTGCCATTGACCTTGGCTTCTCATCAGTCCTCATTGTTAGCCATGATCAGAGAGTCCGGTTTTATCCCATGCTTTTTCAGTCACAGTCCAGCTGGCCTTGGTGAGCTCCCAATAGATCAGCCCCTGAAAATTTATTTTTAAACAGAGCCAATTTCTAAATCTATGAATGAACCAGAATGTTTAAAGATGACTAAAGGGCATGCAGTAACATTCCATTTGTTTAAGGTGGTCTCCCACCGGAACTGTGCATCGATGTTACAACTGTATTATGTCAGCAACATTTAAGTTTCATCACTAACAGTGATCATAAATTTCAGAAATACAGAACACTGCACTGACGACAACAACAAAATCAGGAGTGGTGTGCACGGGGTGGTGTGCACAGGGATGGTGTGCACAGGGATGGTGGTACACACAATGGGGTGGTGTGCACAGGCGTGGTGCACAGGGATGGTGGTATGCACAGGGATGGTGGTACACACAATGGGGTGGTGTGCACAGGGGTGGTGGTGTGCACAGGGATGGTGGTACACACAATGGGGTGGTATACACAGGAGCAGTGCACAGTGGTAGTGCCCAGGTTTGAACTCCAATGACATTTTTTTTTAAATCAACATGTATAAACGCTATACTTCTCAACAGTTACCTGATCTGATGTCAGCAGGGGAGGCATGCTTTGGTAGAGTAAAAACTGACCACTAGTTACATAACACCGAGACAGGGTCCTTCTTCCCAGAAGACCCGGGCATACGGAATGAGGAGACCTCTGCCTGATGCATCTGATTAGTATTTAGTGAGCCCAGAGCAGGATGAAGGACTTTTCCTTCAATGCCGCAAATAAGGTAAAAAAATAATTAAGTCACCACTGAACCCCACTCCTGTCCCAGGGGAGGCTGTCAATGAGACAAGGTTTGGCTTGACCATGGACGCACCACACAGCCCCACTGACAGGACTATTTGCAGGCCCATACTGCTCCTCAGTCTGGTTTTAGAAAAGGAATGCTTTTGCCTTTGTCCTACTGCCCCTAGTCCAGAGAGGGCAGTCGGTCTCTGATATTCACAAGATCCTAAGGCTCAGATAGGCAGCATGTAATTACCTTAAACGTCCAGGTGAGACTGCAGAACACCCCAAGGGAAGGGTCCCACACATGCTGCAGGGAGGTGTAGCATGTTCTCAGTAGGTAAGCGGAGCCCACAGTGTGCTAATACAGCGGCTTAGAGGACCCCAAAGCAACAGTCTGAGAGTCCTGCTCAGAGCTCGGTTTGTTTAGAAAGGTGAAGTAGCGTCTTGCTTCCCACTGACCCCTGGATTACCAGCTAATTAGTCCAACCTTCTGTGGCTCAGTGTGGACTACAAAGGAAGGACAGAGGCAAGAGATAAGGCTTCTGTGCACTGCAGAGCAGTGTCTCTGGAACCACCACAAGATGCTTATTACCACGGCGTCGCTCAGATCGCATAACTAGA